TCTGTCCTGTTTCCAATATTTGACTATGTGCGTCATGCTATTGATCCTTCTGGGGGGGACTTGCCTGAGCAGCAAGGTGCTAATGACATGGGCGAGCTTGACCAAGATGCATGGCTTTATGAGACATGCACATTAGCCCTCCAACTAGTTGTAGATCTTTTTGTCAATTTTTATAACACTGTCAATCCACTTCTGTTGAAGGTGCTCTCATTGCTTGTAAGTTTTATCAAGCGTCCTCACCAAAGCCTTGCTGGTATTGGTATTGCTGCATTTGTACGCTTGATGAGCAATGCTGGTGATCTGTTTTCAGAGGAGAAGTGGATGGAAGTTGTTTTGTCCTTAAAAGAAGCAGCTAATGCAACATGTCCTGACTTTTCGTACGTAGTTAGTGAAGATAATGTGCTTGGAAGTCATGAACATGCTTTCAGTGAAGAAACTAATGACGTGTCTGCTGGTTCAGACATACCTCATGATGATCCTGAGGGCTGGTGGACACAACATCTATATGCTTCTTTATCTGATGCAAAGTGCCGCGCTGCTGTTCAACTTTTGTTGATTCAGGTAGTGCTTTCATTTTGATATTGAAAACTAGGGCCTGAATTGCATTTTGCATAAGCATATGAAGTTATTCATCAGATTTATGGGATGCTATATTCAGTTGTGTTATTTTTGAGATTGTGTTTGAAAATATTGGAGCAATAGAGCTATTTTGCAAGGATAGGTGAATAGATGATACTGTCTTCATTACACTTTGATTTGTCCAAGGTTGATAAATACTGCACTGCATAATTAGACCATCCCACCTAGTTAACAGCACAAACCTTGAGTTTCCTTGACAAATTTAGAAATTGGCAGTGCTAAAACCTAAGGATAAAGGGATATTTTTCAATTTTTTTTCTCTTTATATGTTTATTATTATCTAATTTAACTATGGTTGACTTCCTAGGACATTAATTTTGAAAAGGCAAACTTTGACTCCTATTATAATTTTCTATTCTAATTTCCTTTTGCAGGCAGTGATGGAGATCTATACCATGTACCGATCTCACCTTTCAGCAAAGAATACCTTGGTCCTCTTTGAAGCAATGCGTGGTGTGGCATCCCATGCTCACAGGATCAACAGCAATTCTAAATTGCGTTCAAGGCTTCAAGAGTTTAGTTCCATAACCCAAATGCAGGATCCTCCCCTATTACGCCTTGAAAATGAGTCCTATCAATTTAGCCTCGCATTCCTGCAGAATCTTATAGTAGACAAGCCTCCAAGTTATGAGGAGGCTGGAGTCGAGTCCCATCTGGTTGATCTCTGCCAGGAGGTATTACAGTTTTATTTAGAGACTGCACATTCTGGCCAGGATTCTGAATCATCTACCAATGGGCAATTGCATTGGTGGATACCATTAGGCTCTGGGAAGCGGAGGGAGTTGGCTGCACGTGGACCTCTTGTTGTGGCAACTCTCCAGGCTATTTGTAGCTTGGAAGAGGCCTCATTCGAGAACAACTTAGCTCAGTTCTTCCCCCTTATTTCAAGGTTGATAAGTTGTGAACATGGGTCAAGCGAGGTCCAAGTAGCTCTTAGTGATATGCTCAGTACATCGGTAGGTCCTGTTTTGTTTCGATCATGTTGATCTCAGTAAAATAAGACTGCATTTTGGTGTATCATATATTTTGTTTGATCCACATTCACCCCATAGTTTCCATTGTTACTCTTAGTCCATAATAATTACAGGAAATATAGTTTCATGGTATATGAACGGTTAAGAGTTGGTTTTGATTGGTCAAATTCTGAACCTTCCTCTGTTTATTAAGGACAGAATAGCTTCTCTTTTCAGAATTTGTAGATTCCTTATAGAGGTTTTCTTGTTGTATGGTAGGTGGTCAAATACTTTTTTGAATGAGTTTTTGTAGAAAGATTTTCTGATTCAATACGTTAGGTTGAAACTTTTATTTTGGGAGTGCTAGTTCCAGAATATCAGCATTCAGTCGTCAGTTTTTATTTCTTGCATATGCATTACGCGTTTTTACGAGGTGAAGACAAAGGGTACTGGGTAAGGTTTAAAAATTCAACTCGTTAAGAGGGAACATAAGAAATGGCATTTTTTAATTCCCTGCTTTTACCTTGTGAAGACAAAGGGTAAGGTGTAAAAATTCAACTCGTAAAGAGGGAACACAAGAAATGGCATTTTTGAATTCCCTGCTTTTACCTTGTGAAGACAAAGGGTAAGGTTTAAAAATTCAACTCCTAAAGAGGGAACACAAGAAATGGCATTTTTGAATTCCCGGTTTTACTACCTTATGACTTGAATCAACCCCACATGTAAAGGAAAACAACTTTCAGATAAAACTGCCGTCTGGGACTAGAGACTTGAAACGACGTGTTTACTCCCTTCCGATTAACTGAGTCAATCACTCCTTGGGCTGCGGAGATGACGACGATTAGAAACAAACACCATGGTTTTGTTTATAAATTCAACTGGCATCCAGTATTCTAGAATCTAGAGACCTGATCAACTCCTGTGGTGGGTGAAATTAATATATAAGAACCATATTCATTTTTATATTTAATTTGTCATCAGAACTCAAATGACACCCTAACACAAGCTTTTAATGTCTTTTTTTTAAAAAAAATTTTTTTTTATTAATTTCAATTTTCAATACATTTGATGTAACCTTTAGAATACAGTAATTTTGAAATCCCAATGTTTTAGACATCACCAATAAAGATAATACTATCTCCAACCCTCTCTCCCTTCTTAATTTCAATGCTTAAGAGACAACGAAATCTTGAAAATCCCTCAATCCAAATTGGATTATTTGGTCTTTCCACTTATGTACGACATTGTTTGAATTTGAAATTATCGCTAAGTGATAAAGTTCCAAGGTTTTTCTAAAGGAGGAAATCTTCCACCAAACATCCCCAACATCCTATCATTAGCCAAATTCACTTAACAGTCTCTCTGAATTATGTCATATTCTTGTAAATTATTTTGCATCTCTCTATGCAAGAAGGCTCAAATCTTCCTCAATTTTAGCCCAAACAAGAAAAAGAAACGACATCGTCTGTCATCCAATCTTGATTTTGTAAGTTCTTCTTTTGCCGCCATGGAAGTTTCCAGCCAATTTAAACAGGTTTTCAAGGCCATCGACGCAAATAGAGACGGGAAGATATCTTCCATGGAGCTCAGTGAAATGCTAATCTGCTTCGGATGCGAAAAGTCTACGGCCGTGAAAGAGGCGGAGGGAATGGTGAGAGAAATGGACCGCGACGGAGACGGTTTTGTCGACTTGGATGAATTCATTCATGCAGTGAGCAGCGATGGAGAAGATTGTAACGACGGTAAGGAAGATCACCTAATGGATGCCTTTCTCATGTTTGATTCCGATAAGAACGGACTGATCTCCGCGGAGGAGCTCCGTCGTGTTCTGATCGGCCTCGGATTCGACCGGTGCAGCCTCCGAGAGTGCGAGCGCATGATCAGAGGCGTCGATAAGGACGGAGATGGATTTGTTGATTTTGAAGATTTTCGATCCATGATGACAAATAGCCGAGAATCGAAGAGCAGAGCGTCATCTTGATCATCACTCCACCTTCCAAAATTCTCTTCTGCTACATATGCCCAGTCTATTCCAAAATTCTGGCCCAAATAGATTGGGCTTGGCCCAAGGTTCCAAGTTAAATTAAATTAGGCTAATTAGATCACTTGTTAGTTTGATGAAATTATTATTATTATTATTATTATTATTTTGTTTGGTGTAATATGGGTTTGGTGAAAGGCAAGGTTGTTTATTTGGATATAAAAAAATTCATGAAAAATTGCACTTTGGTCATCTCCTTCCGAAATCAAACAACGACTAGTTAAGTATGCGAAGGTAAGAAATAAGCAAATGAAACTTAAGGGATTGGTACGTAATTTATGATTGTCAAAGAAATCGTCTTATGCCGACATGAAGCATGCTTTATAAGATTTCAGAGGTTAGCTGGTCGGGTTAATTATTCAAGCAATATTTTAATTCAGTTGAAAAAAGAATTTATATTATTATTATTTCTAATTGAAAACATACCTATTTTAGAATTTTAGAGAGGCCCCTTCATGTTAAAAGAAATCATGTTCTTTCCTTGATCAAGATAATTTTAAACATGCATTAAAAGGAAGAACAATTTGACCATTTATATAGTCCTTGTCAAGTACTCCTATCATTTTTGGGAAGAAAAAGATATGTAATCTATATTACAATCTAGTACTCTTCCAAAAGTTATCACATATTGTTGTTGGAGTCAATTTCTTATATTATTTAAAGTTACAATTTTCCAAAACCGTTACATCCCATAAGAAAAAAAAAAAAATAGTTCATTGTAAGTATAAAAGGATCCAAATAATACATGATGTCTCAAAAAGGTTGGTGAAAAATATTAATCAGCACTGCCATAGATGTGGAATCCGAAATTAACCAAATTTTATAAGCATTCCTTTTTCTTTTTTTTTTAAGAATCATTTTTAAAGTTTAGATATTAGAGGAATCAATTGTACTTCGGCTAATTAAAAAAGTAGTAGTAACATATAAATTGAGTTCGAATGTTGATGGATAATGTTTTTATTACTAACTTTGTTACTATTTAAAAAAGGTCTAATATAGATATTAATGATGTATAAATTAAATGTCTCACCCTTGTCCTACCAACCATACAAAGCATACACTATAGGATATATGCTATATGTGTCATAATTAATTGTTTGAAAGATCATTTTGTATTGAATTCTTTACAAGGAACTATTTAGCCTTTAGATGTGGAATCAGATACTTTCTAATTTAATAATTAAGTGTGTTAGGCTTGATGAGAAGAATGAGGGAAAATGAAAGGCAAGTAATAGATTTTCCTTTTCTCAATTTAATTGGACAAAAATTCCTTCATTTCTTTACTTTCTTTTCCGATTATTTTATCTCCAAAAATTATATGCTTACAATAAAACATGATATTGTAATTTTTTTTTTTTTTGGTATGTTGGATGGTAAGTTATATAATAAGAAATATCTCTCTCTTTCTAAAACCCCTTTTCATCCATCCTAAAATTTGAACTTAAAATCTTTAATATGAAATTTTTTTAAGATTTTAACCACTAGATCATCCCCTAGGAAATGATATTGTAAACTTGCATTTATATTATGTGTTACATATAGTTGAATCTTTTTATTTAGAGACCTGCTCAAAATATTGTATATTGAACACTGATTAGTACATATTTTAATTCAATATACTGCACAATACATTTATTAAAAAATTATTATTTCCTAGTTAAAGTAAAGATAAACAAATTTAAAAATGCAACTATACATAAAAGGTACTGAAATTGGCTAAATCAATTGTACTTGTATTATATATTAATAGTTAAACTAAAGAACCGGGTCTTTATGCCCAATGGTTCGACCCCAAACCTTAAAATGCTTGGGTGAGATGGTCGGAGTTTCGAACTCCACCACCGTCTTGAAAACTCCATTCTCCCATCTTCCAAATTGTACACTGTTCAAAAAAAAAAAAAATTAAACTAAAAGGAGTATCATAAAATGTGTTGAATCGAGTAAATATTAACTATTTTTCTATTGTATGTATATATATCGAGTAGAAAAATTTTATGTCAAAGATATAATTAAGAAACACATGATTTAAATATAAAAAAAAATCACTTCATCTATTATCAGTTGGTTTAAAATAAATGTAAATTTTGTATTTTGGCCTATATATTAAATTTTCACAATATCAACTCATTTAATAATTTATCATGACGATAAACTTATAATCCTACGTTTCCATTTTCTCTCAATCCAAACACACCATAAAATTAAAAACAGTTGACATAATGAAGCAGTTTTTGGCCGCACTAGCTACCCAGTGATCGATGAAATTGAAAAGCTGTACGCAGTGAAGGTGATTACCATAATTATATATTTTCTAAACAGAGATCACCATCAATCACATGGAGACCTAAGTTTTGGTCGGTTGTTTAGTCCCTAAAATATTCCCACTGGCACTGCTCGATGTGGGATTAATTAATTAATCAAAGAATTAATGCAACAATCTCAAGCCACTTTGAACAAAAAGGAGCTTCTGAGATCATGAGAACATGCAAAAACTATTCTAGATTCAAAGCAATTAATGGGTGCTCTTCACATGGAATTGGTACTAGTATTTTTCTTCTTTTGGTGTGGTGGTCCTGGTCCACATATAAATGTATACTGTTTGATGGATTAGCTTTACGAAAGCAAATAGATATTGTTAATTAATTTGGACAAAGAGCGCTAGAATTGGTTTGATTTGTTTAATAAAAGGGGATTGATTTTCGATGTTGTTGTTTGCAATTAGACAAAAGCTCTCCACTACTGTCGTTTCATCTCCGTAATTTCTAAAGGGAAGACTATGTCTTTCTTGAAGACTTAATGTGTTCACAATAATATTCAATATGATGATATTGTTCATGTTATGTATATTTTAATTTTTGTTTGAAAAGGCTTGTTTCAATGAACCCTGTGAACTTAACAACGTTACCATTAAGAAAAAGGGTGTTAATTATTTTAAGGCCAAACAATTGCATGCATCATACTCATTTTAACAATACATAGGAAATTTTAAAATCAGTAGACTTTCACCTAACGCCTCAATCCTTCTCTTAATATATTAATGATGGAAGACAAACAGAAATGTTTTTTTTTTTTTTTTTCAACTCCATCCTGCACTTAAAAGTATCAGTTTGAGAATGAAGAAAACAAAAACACCCTTAACAAATCAAGGGTGTATAAAGTTTTTATAATTGACATTATTGTCTTTTCCTATGTTGAACTACCATTTTAAAGTACAATCCACTCTAAAAAAACCACTCTCAAAGACAATTAATCTAATCATATTGTTTATGCCATATTTGGCCAGCCAATGGGACACTTAATTATTTATTGAATAAGTAATCTTTTTTCAACTAATAAAAATTTGAGATTTCAAATTAAAAGTTAATTTCAAGTTCAAATCTTTAAAAAGTGCACATGAATAGGAATTTTTGAAAGAGGAAGCAATTCTTATTTTGTAATTCATCATCAGTTATATGTATGCTTTCATCACATAATCAAGCCCTAAGGGAAGAGAACATTCTAATGGTTAATAACTTCAATTTTTATATTAAAAATTTTAAATTTGATTCTCGAAATATATGAAAGTAGTTGGGAAAAGAGAGAGCTATAGCCATAATCAAACCTAAAAGAAATCAGACAAGATATTCCATTGCTTACTGCTCGTTCTATGCCTACTAAAGACTAGGAATGGATTAATTAGTGTCAAAACCATATATAGTATCATGTGTAAAGATCTAGAAGAGGTAACCAATTAATCTAAGAGGTTAAAATTAATTCTACTTAATTTATCTACATTCCTAGTACAAAATTGTTTCTAAATGATAATGAAACTGCTCGATAATTAAATATTGAGAAAGATCCATTATTGGCGATAGGAAGAAGAATTGATTTTCAAATATCTACGGAATTAGAATAGAGAGGTGGTGGGGGCAGGTGTTGACTGCTTAACAAGAGAAAACGAAAGTTTGTTTGTGATGTATTTATTATAATAACCAAGACACTGACTTTATTTTTCTCGTTTTTATATAGCACTAGCTACCTCATCTTTGTTCGAAAACAACAAGATTATTGGTTGGTCCCTTCATATATTTTAAATACTTAGGTAGTTCTCTCTCCTTAATTCATTTTTTTTTTGTTTGTTTGTTTGTTTTTGTTTTTGTTTTTGTTTTCCCGTAAGAGAAGTTGGCTATCACTATGAGAAGGGCGAAAGAAACGTGTACATGACGGTCCATCATCCTGGAGAAAGACAAAATGTGCGAATTGTTCCTCAACAATTTTGAGTTGAAGTAAATTATCATTTAAAAAAAATATTAAAGTAATTCATCACTTTAAATTTTTATTTTT